AAAAATATTCCTTCAAAATACTAATTCACACTCAAAATGGAGTCGTAAAAACAGAAAGAAATTTCAGATGATTAAAATTAAGGACCTCCTGCCGATTTTGGCTGAAATTAAGGACTTTTAAGAACCAAAAATCGATTCCAAAAAATGTAAGGACTCTTAAGCACAGTACGAACTCTGTATTACCTATGAAAGCCATCTAGTGGGCACAAGAATTTACAACCACTCTATTAGTAACCCTTTTTGATTTATCACATTATTTGTGACATTCCACAAAAGAGTTGTAGCAATTTACTTTAACTATACAGTGTAATTCAAAAGTATCTGGTAAAAGTGTAAAGGCAGAGAAGGGACAGAAATAATTAGGTATGAAATCTGTGTGCAGAAATTACTCAGTGAGGTGTTATAAAGCGATATTGAGATTTAGTGTTCTGTTACCATAAATCCTCATTCCCATGTGGATTTCGAATGGTATGCATCCAGATGTGAAAACAGAGATCACCAACATGCATTTTATTTAAGGGGATAACAATAGAAACAATGCAGCTCTTTAGAGGAGATACTTAGGAATAGTATCTTTGAGCAGCTGCTTTGTTTTCACCACAGACCCCTAGAAAAAATTCATATCAGCCAAGCACTCATTAACAAAGTTATGCAAGCCAGTCAGAAGTTACACGAGGAATGACAATTTATGCCAGAAGAACATTTTCATCTACTGCTCAACAATGCCTTACATCACCGCAACAGGCCATTCCCCCCATATACTCATTTACAAAATAGCCTTATTTTGGTCCTTTCTACCTGAATTTAAAATTTTGCCAGATATTTTTTAATCACCCTGTACACTGTTCGAGTTTAAGATGTTAAAGACAGTTTTAGCTATATCAACCAAACAAACAAATTTCCAGAAGTATATTTTTAATCCCATTAACAGAGTCAAAAGCTTCATACTGAAATATAAGACATTCTGGCAAAATGACCTATTTTGTCATTAAAAAAAAAATTATCAACAAATATTATTTATTAAAATCATTTCATATACAGTACAAAGTCCGTAATCTGAACTCGTCAGAACTTCGGCGATTCCGGATTAGGGAGTTTTTCCGGATTATAGAGCTCTAATTTATGAAATAAAGAGCAATTATGATCTAAAGGGTAACAAAATTAAGAAAAAAAAAGCTTAATATTTATTTGTTTACTTTATTAAACATTTCTTTCAACGCGCGCATGTGTAAAGTGTACATTACACATAGTTGAAATTAGAAAATTGCAACAAGAAAATTATTTGATTTGTATTCGTGATATTTATAATGACGAGGAATTTGATTTAAATCAAAGATGGAGTACATCGAGATGAAATACTATATTTAGTAAGGAATTATAAGCCGAATAAAAAAAAAAGCTTAATATTTATTTATTTACTTTATTAAACATTTTTTTCAATGTAAGTTCTTTAAGTTGCTTTGTTTTTTGTGCAAATACTTTCTCTTTAATTCTATAAACAGACATAATTTCTAGTCGAGTTACAAAGTTCCACTGTTCAAGTCCTGAAATTGCTGTGTCGAGAATACTGACTAACTTGTCAATCGAAATTTTTTTGTTTTCAATGACCTCTTTGTCACTTTCTTCGCTACCGGAAGCGGTATTTTCTGGATCTAGAACCATACTACAGATTTCGCTGTCCATTAACTGATTGATGATTGGGACATTGTCGTTGCAATGAAAAACTTCTGTTATATCATCTTTGTTTATTATGGCTTCTATACGTTTCTTTACAAAATCCAATAACTGCAAAATTTCACCTTTAGTTTGCAATGTCCGAAAACCTTCAAATTCGTGGCTATCATCTTCATTATCCTCACCACGAAATATGGTAGCATAAATTATGCCAAGCATTTTTTAACGTATCTGGAGACACATCCTCCCAACATGTAAACGCGCATGCATAAATGCGTTACGCGCGTGCGTAAAGCATCGGCTTTGAGGTCCGGATTATAGATCATTCCGGATAATGGATGTCTGGATTACAGACTTTGTACTGTATCTGCCATTTTGCTTTTTTACTGTTTTCAATTTTTTTTTTTTTTTTTTTACTTTAAATATACACCACACTGTTTATCATTGTTTTTTAATGCAGATCATGAGTGATATAAGATGAATTACTTTCATCCTTCTTCTTGGGGAAGAGGGATAAGATATTATTACTGACTAATCAAATGACACAAATTCCTGGGGGGGGCTACAGACAGAAACAAACAGATTCTGATTAAATTTTTTCTCTCACTCGCATTTGCTTCTTTGCGTCACCTTGTGCATTATATCGACAAGCCTAAAACAGGGCTTTAGCTCACAGGGAAGGTAAATAATTTTGTGAAGGAATTTGAAACAAGCGTCTTTACATAGTACCTCTCATCCGTTTTTGGACACTTGTGTTTTTCAGGATCATTTGCAGATACAGTCAAAAGTCTTTAATCAAGATGTCCATAATCCGGGATGATCTATAATCCGGACCTCAAAGCTACAAACTTTATGCACATGCTTCAATGCATAATGCATTAACGCATGCACATAATACCTTCACACATGCGCATTTACGCATGCACATAATACGTTTATGCATGCGCGTAATATGTTTATGCATGCGTGTTTAATGTATAACGGATTGTATAAGCTAAGCTAAAATTATCTAATTATCTATTTCAGTTAGTTAATGTTGCGGATTGCGTTGTTCCTTAATCTTTTAATTGGATCCAGCTTAGTATTTTTTGCAGACTGTTAGAGCAATTTTATAAAAGTAAGTTTGAACTTTCGATTATGTCAAAAAGAATTTCCGATTCAGGAGCTACCAAAGGATCTACAAAGCGAAAGCATGTTTTGATGTCCATCAAACAAAAAGTGGAATTGCTGCAAAAAATGGATAAAGGCATATCCTTTGATTCTCTAACCATTCCGAAATATGTTTATCAATTTCATGCTGCTCTGTGAGGGGGGGACGCGGCACGCAATGAACTGGAAGTTGATCTGTCAACACTATCTTTATCTTCCCGGCAGATATTTTTATTTTATTCGACTTATAATTCCTTACTAAATGTAGTATTTCATCTCGATGTACTCCGTCTTTGATATGATTTCAATCAAATTCCTCGTCATTATAAATATCACGAATACACATCAAATAGTTTTCTAGTAGCAATTTTCTAATTTCGACTATACATAATGTATGCTTTACGCATGTGTGCGTTAAAAGAAATGTTTAATAAAGTAAACAAATAAATATTAAGGGGTTTTTTTTTATTTTGATATTCTTTAGATCATAATTGCTCTTTATTTTATAAATTATGGTTTCATATTTTTAATTTTATAATTTCTACACCTTACCAGATTTAAATTGATCTATAATCCGACTGCATTAGTTACTAAATATTATCAAAATGATTTTGTAGAGTTCACTTAATTTGTTTAACCAGTTACTTTATGTTAAGAATCTTTACAGTCACTTCTCTCTCCATCTTCCTGCAAGAATGCATATAGGGTCGTGTGTATTTAAGGCTAAATTCGAGATGGTTTAGACATTTGTTATATAAAATAGTAAATGATAACATAATTAAGGAATGTAAGCCAAGTAAATGAGGTCTCTTCTAAAAACATATGTTAATTAAATATTTTTAATTTTTAATAAGCTTTGTACAGTTTTATATTTAAAAAGTTTCTACACTTTTGTTTCATTTTAGTTACTTTATATTATATATGAAGTTCAGTTACATATATTTTTATACTACTTAAAATTAATCATTCAACACTAATTAGTTTAAATCATTAATCACTACTTAAACATCTTTTTGTTCTATTTAAATGTACCTATATTAATAAATAACTTTTTAAAAATCTCAGTTAAAAAAGTATTTGCATTTTTATGTCATTCAAATTAGTATATATATATTTTTTTTTACATTTCCAGTCATCATTTAAATATATTTTAACTTTGATAGTTAATGCATATTTAAACCATGTGTCATGTTTTTAGTTCTTTCACATGCAATGATTAAAAATATTTGCATTAATATTTTCTTTTATTTCATGGGTTAATTATTTATTTTATGTTTTTATTTGAATTTATCTTCATATTTAAATAAATATTAAAATATATAGAGAGGGATAGATATATGTGTGTGTGTGTGTGTGTTTAATCAACTATTTCGTAAATAAGAGTTATTTAAATTATCATCAACACAAATTTTTAAATCTGAAATGCAATGAATAATTTTCTGTGCCTAAATAAATTCCATTTACCCTTGTACCCAGCAATTCTTCTCAAGACTGAAACGCGTTAAGACTAGAAGTCAGATTACAAATCAACACCTCAAGAATATTCTATACATAGCAGCTTCCAACATTGATGGCACCATGGATAACCTAGTCTAAAGAAAGTTATCTCAGATACTGGCACTGAGAAAAAAAAAAAAGAAGGCTTGAAAATGTAAAATAAGGTTTCCTCTGTTAACTTTTTGTTTGTAACTTTTTTTCACTTCTACAAATATACTGTATTGAATTTACTTTTTATTTAATTAGGTTTTCATGTTAAATACTTAATTTTTCAAAATAGAATTAACTATGCTTTGAAGAACCTTTCTCTATGATTTTCCCTATAAATTACCAAAGCCATAAGTTATGGGGAAAAAAACAAAATTTTCTATTTTAAAACTGAATACACCACCTATTAATTAGTAAAAAATCTTAGGTTTGATTATGTATTTTGTTTGATATGATTAATATTTCATTTGATTCACTGTATCATTATTCTCAGGCTAACTTATCAGTTTCTGTAGAAAAGTTCGTGCATATAACATTTTCATTCTCCATTTGAATTTTGATTTTTATATAAAATAAAAACTTCAAATTTCATATATATTAACTTAAGACAGTTACCCATTCCAACAAAAATATTATATTCTTTCTGGGAACAGGAAAAAAAATCTTTTTAATTTAAATGAACGTTCACAAACCATTTTGTTTTAGTGGGACTTTATCTCCAGCTATTTTATTCACATCTTCCAATGACTGTCCTGGTTCATTAAAGAAATCTGCATCACATGTATTAATAGAAGCCTTGAGTTTCTGTTAAAAAAAATACAAAAATTCTGTTTTAATTTTCTGAGGGTAATAAAAAAGCTCAGAAAATTACTTAGAAATTTAAAAATGCAAGATATTAACGATGTCTTGGATTAGGAACATAAGTATAAGTACTTATATGCACATAGTAAAGTATCAGTATATATATATAATAATGTAATCTCTGTATGCTAAATAATAAAAAAAATAATGAGGTAATAAACATTCCAATCCTTTTTTACAGGAATAATATTTGTACAGTAAAATAACTAAAAATATTTATTGCTTAATTTTTAATAAAAACTGCTAGAAATCATTCAAAAAGGAATAAATATATAGATTCATTTCTGGTATTTGCATATAAAAGAAGATTTATTGACTCCAACTAGCGCTGTTCAAAAACATGACTTAGATGTCAAAAACATACCAATGAAAATATAACATCTTATGCTCCTAGTATGATGGAGGAGAATAAAGATGCTTAAAACTGATGAAAGATGAAAATCCAGAAATGCTTCTTGTGCATTGTTATTCATTGGGACAAAAAACAGGGCGACTTGAAATTGAAGTTAACTAAATCGGAACCTGACATAAAATATTTTTGCAACAAGCATCAAGTGCAGGGATTTCACTAAATTTAAATAATTACTAAAAATAATAGAGATATAGAAAAATGTTCATTAAAATTATTTTGTATTTGAATTTCAGGTCTGTTTTAAAGTTTACTTATTGTGTTTGTTAAAAACATTTCCTAGTGATTTCTTCCTAAAACCTAAATTCAAGTTTCTTTCGTAAACACTTTAATTTTTGAACATTAAAAATTATTTATATGCTAGGGAAAGCATAAGAATTATAGATAGGATTAAATGGGGCATAGCACAAAAAAGGTTGGGGAAACACTGGTTTAGATATGATTTCATACTTTTAATTTTATAATTTCTGCATGTCATCTTCCAAGCTTTACACTGATGATCTAATATCCAACAAGTCCACATCTCGAACTTTATACTGTACTATAAATGAACCATATGAAGCATCAGAATGGTACTATGATAACCATTCTGATGCTATATTATCTTCTTTTGCATCCTTACTCTCATATCTATACTGTGTTTACATTATACATTAAATCTGCATAATTAAATAAAAGTGAATCTCACATATGTATATTAGGTATCACATTCCTTTTTTTATGCCTAATCTGTATGCACCTGGACATTGAGAACTTTTTTGGTACATACAATTCAACATTCTTAGTCTTCACAATATTCAATCTTTTTATTAAGGGGGAAAAAAAAGTACAACACCTAAAAAAAAATTGTAAAATTTTTCTTTAATTTTATAAAATAAATTTATGAAATTAAAGAAATAAATTCAATTAATATTTTAATGCTTGTGTACTTGCTAGATACAAGTGAAAAATTGCTAAAAACTGACAACATAGAAAATTTTATCAATCTTATAATAATACTGAAATAAAAACAAAATTATTTAAACAGATTAAATTAATTTCAAATTGTGAATAGGACTTTTTCCCTGGTTTAAAATTGCTAATTTAAAGGTATGTGCAATTTCTGGTTTTCCTCCAACTGACATTGCCATTCTTCACAATGTTGGTTTTAGGAAAAATCTTTCTGACTCTTCCAGTTATGATAGCCCCAATCTAGTTATAATTGTTGTTTGCCTCTATAAGTTCTTCCTGTTCCCCCAGAAAGAAATGTTGTTAATGTTATTCAATTTAGGAATAAAATCGCAGATAATTTCTTAGTAATTTGCTATACCGATGGCAAAGTTGGTTTCACATTTGTTGTCTTCAGATAAGATCTTGAATTCGAGCACTCTGAATTTAGAATTTGAGATGAATGATCACTGAACAAAATAGGGTTGTTTCAGACTATCTCATTTGTATCAATTTTTGTTCATCCTTGGTGTATTTAATTATGGCAAAGCACACTAGGGCTATCTGCCTAAGGGGAGGGATGCCTTCGTGGAGGACTTTCTAAGGGAAAATGGCTCGTATACACCTTACACATGGGGAAAGCCACGAAAACACCCATGCAGCCAGCCCGTTCGCGGGATTCGAACCTCGGATCGAACTACCAGTGTTCAGCGACTTTACCACTTGGCTGCTGGTGAGCTCGTTCATCCTTGGAGACTGTAAATATATTTTTTCTTTTAAAAACACAATCATGCAGATTCAAAGACAATTTAAAAACCTAAAAGATGGAAACATTTTGATTGCTTTTGCATCTGTTCATGGGTATACAGATACTGATGGGAATGAACAAGCCTATTTTCTTGCAAAGACTGCCATCAAATAAGAAACTGACATTTTTGTCTATATCCCTAAATCCTAAATCCTTTTATAAGAATGTCATAAATGAAAGTACTGCAGAGTCGCAGAATCAAGAATACATTAGTTCAAATAAAGGAAACTTAACTAAAAGAGTTTTCCCATTCCATCCAAACAAAAATGAGATTGATTGTCATGTAATAATTTTTTCACAATTAATGATGCAATTCCTTACCAGCTATGGAAACTTTAAAAGTCATCTGAGCAGATTTAAGTCGAGTCCAGAGACTTTTTGTTACTGCAGCGTTGGTGGCGAGGAAAATGTCTGGCATGTGCGTCTCCTATGTTCCAAACTTGACAGTGAAAGATCTTAAAACTGGCATTTAAAAATACTACCCAGCCTCCAAATTTTCATCAGTCTACTTCTTAAAGAAGTTCCTTTAACTATTTTTGTGAATTCATTGTAAATTATTGTAATCCTTCATAATTTTCTTAACTTGTTCCTTTACTCTTTATTTTTTTGTATTGTGCTTGATATTTACATCTGTAAGCCCCACATAATACTTTATGGTACATGCCAAACTGCTTATGTTTTTAGTTTTATAATAATTTAAAGGTTTAAAAATAAAATTATTTAAACAGACTAAATTTGAATGAAGTGTTATTTCATATAAAATCTTTGTTAATTTAAGAAGTATAAATACTGTCTAATGCTTTATTATAGGGGTCTTCAACCTTTCACGCCTGAGAGCCACATCAATAAATTCACAAAGATCTGCAGGCCACATGTATGTCAAAAAAATAGGGTACCCAGAAAATTTATATAAAAAAGGTAGGTTTGTTTTGCAAGACTACAATTGATTTTAAGCGAAGAGATAGTGTTACAGATTTGTATATGTATACATTGGTTCCAAAAAGTCAAACTGAAATTGAATTAAAATGTTTTGCAACTTTTTTTAACTATGAAACAAAATATAAAGGTGATTGTACAGAACATGCTACAAAATGCATTTACAATAAAAAAAAAAAAAAAAAAAATCTGTACACCACATGACTTCCTTGTACGGAATATTAAATTATACACATTTTTTCTTGCATTTTATTTATAAACTTATTAGATTGAATTAAACCTACTTCGCCGACAGCGCATAAACCACAATAGAATAAATGCATTCTTTAAAATTCACTTTGTTTACCACAGCAACACTCCGGTGCTAGGTTTACTTATCAGTATTATATTTCGTTCATATTATAACTCAGAATGCAAAAAATTTATATCATTTAAAGAATTATCTAATCGTTGCCACATGTTCTATTCAAATACTATAATAAAGCTAGAACGATGTATAAAAGAAATTACGCAAACGAAACAAAAAGAAACAGTTTCTCACAGACGATTGAGTATTTCTCATTCAATTAATTCAGTTCTCACTTCGCGAGAAGGCAAAAATACATAAAAACTCAAAATATCTGTATTAAAAATTACGAAGTAAATCTTAAACGCTTATTTCCTCGAAAAAATTCAAGAAAGGATTAAGCATGATTTAATTGGCGATAATAAATGAATGTGTTATCTTTGTTGTTGTGAAGCTAAGTTTCTCTAGATTGGCAACAAATCCACTAGTCTCCTGTTTCAAATGTAAACATAAATGGCCGCCATCAAATTAGGCTTAGTTGCACTTAAACAATTTTAAAATTGTTGATAATTCTAAAAATATTGCATAAAGATTTACTAAAGGCATAAAACCCTTAAACGGAAGATAAAAACAACATAATTCAATCATTTTTAAAGAAAAAAATGTACAATTTACAAACATATAAGAGTAAAGAAACTGAGATCACTGAGCCGGGTAACAGAGTGGATAAATTTATAAATATATTTATATACATATCGCGCGGCCGATTGAAACCAAAATACGAGGTGCACATCTACATCTTATAATAGTCTTATATACAAAATTTCAACGTTCTGAGGCTACTCGTTTTTGAGTTATGCGAGATACGTTCGTACGCACGTACGTACCTACGTTCATACAGACGCCACGAAAAATTCTCTTCAGAATTCATTTTAAAGCAGTTTTTTAGTTTTTTTTTTTTTTTTTTTTTTTTTTTTTTTTTTTTTTTTTTTTTTTGGAGGAAAGGAGTCTTTTATTCTGTCCTTACAAACAGATATCACGCAAAAACATCGTTAAATTGCATTTGAAAGCGGTCAAAGTGGATATTTTCGTTGAAATATGCTGCCTGAAGCTTTTCGCGATTACAATACTTTCTTTTTACTTCGTACAAGGAAGTAAAAAAGAAAAAAAAAACTTGCATTACTGGCGGGAGATGGTAGTTAGTTTAGTTTTAATGTGAAATTTGATATTGTTTTTGCTTGATTAAAGCTTCAGTATTTGGTTTAATCTGTGTTGTTGCAATTCGTAAAGTTTCCTCTAAATGCCTGTCTGTCAGCGGTGTGCTTGTTTTTGATTTTAGGATTTCATTTTACTAAAGAGCTGTTCACATATGTAGGTGCTGCCAAAGACAGAAGACATGAAGAGTGCATATTTATGAATTCCTGGATACTTGTCTCCAGTCACATACTTCGAATAAAAGTCAATTAATGTAGGATTTTCACGAAACTTGCATTTTACTGCAGAGTCACACTGCAAATCTGTTAATTCTAATTGAAGTGCAGGTGGAACACTTCCAATGTCTACTGAAAACGGAGAGAACAACATTCTCATAAAAATTTCATTTTCCCGAAAATTGGCTTTTTAATTCCTCTTTCAAATTTGAAATGCATTGTACATAATTGTACATAATGTTTTTAATTCCATGTTGTAGAGTTCTTCACACACTCTATCTATTTTGGAAAGTGAGTGGAATTCTTATTTAGCAAGTGACTTTCCCACAGGATTAATTTTGTCTTTAAAGCTAAAGATTATGAAGAAGTAGATCTTTTCCCAGTAAGCATTAGTTCAAATTATTGATATAACCTGTAATATAGACAAGAAATGCAAAGTCTCTCAACCATTTCTCATCACTGAACTTGTGAATAGATTCCATGAATTGTTGCACTTCGCGCTTCAAAGAAAACAGGAGCTGAAGCATCTTTTCTCAGCTCAACGAACACTTCCATGTAATACACAACATCACCATATTCAGCTTCCAAATCACTCAAGAACTGTTGAAACTGCCTGTGATTAAGTCCTTTAGACCGAATTAACCACTTTTACAACAACATTCATCACACGTTCAACGTTTGAGAAGGACTTCTTGCACAAATTTTCTTGTAGATGATGCAGTGGAAAGTCATCATAGTATTAAATGTCTGAAGACACTTCCCTTCACATCAGATTTGAATAATGTTGTTACTTCTATTTTCTCTCCAATGATAGATTTAGCACCGTGGTTATAGCAGATATATTACTGCAGTCTAATTCACATTTATCCAAAGTTTGTGTCAGACTCGAATACAAATCTGCTCTTCATGTTGTAACTTTAAGTGCAACAACACTGGCTAATTCCTCTATAATTGTGAAGTCTCTATCAACGCCACGAATAAAAATGGCTACTTCTGCAGTATCTGTTACACCTGTTGATTCATCCATCACTATAGAACAAAACATTTTTTGCATTTGGATTTTAATTTACTGAATATATCTGTTGCAAGATCATCTATGCGTTCTTGCTACTGTCACACCAGACAAGCTAATATTCGATATGACTTGAGCCTGTGATGGACAAAGCACTTCAACTGCACACTGAAGACATTCTTTTATAATTTCTCCATCAGCAAAGGGTTTTTCAAGCATAGCAATTTTTTCTACTATTATGTAAGTAAAACAAACACTATTTTCAGATTCTTTATTCACTGTGGTGAAGAAAGACTCCGCAAACGCAAATTTAGTTTTGATTTTAATTCGCTCACCTTCGAAAAATGACCTTCCAATGCAGAATATTTCTCACTGTGCTTACTATCATTAATAGCTCTTATCGTTTATTCCTTTGTCATAGCTACACTGTTGTTGCAAATAAGGCAAACTGCCTGCTTTACCTTACATAGAACCAAAAAAAAAAAAAAAAAAAGATCTGACTAGTTTTCTTGAAAACATCTCACTTTTCCTTCAGCTTTACTGTTTTTGTTATCACGGCTTGCCATTGTGTACTCATTCAAAGACCATAAAAGCTTCTGAATTTTAGAATGTGGAATGAGCGTGAGCTTAAAATCAACAATAGAAAGTCTGCTTCTCACCAAATCAAACAGGATATTTAGGATCACCATTTTCTTTGACAGCTGATTGCAACATTAGGAGAAATAGAATTATGTTAATTTATTACCCCTCCCCTCTAAAGTAGCAGCATGCTCAAGGTCATCTTTGGCGAAGTATTGATGAAATCTGTTAGGCATAAGAATCTGAATTGAGATTCTATGCATAGTCAAATTTTTTATTTTTAAAATTACATAAAATAAAGTGAAATTTTTGAAAAATTCATCATTTTCAGAACATTGTATCTCAAATAATATCAAGCATGTCAATAAAATGTTTTAAATATCAAGAATAAGGAAAAAAAAAAAGTTTTTTCATGACAAAAAACTGACAAGGAAATTTTTCTTGAAATCAAAATTTCTTAAAATTCTTCAATTTTTCTTCAAAATTGGATGTGGGGGGGGCCACTAAATGGCTTCAGCAAGCCACTGGTTAAAGACCCTACTTTATTATATACCTTCTTGAGCATAAGATCATTCTGTGCTTAATTAAAACAAAGCTATTTTTTTAAAAAAAACCAGATGACAAAAACATAAAGACTGCAATGTTGAAATAAGTTAAAAAGTAGACAAATAACAAAAATTAACAAAAATTGCCGGCTCCATAGTTAATATTCATTATTATTAAAATTAAAATCCAATATAAGTTAACACATACACTAAGATTCTCAGCTGAAATTTCACCAGAAAACATTTCCATAAACTTCCAAAAGTCAAAAAGAAAATCATCTCTAGGTACAACTGGAATATCTGCGACTTGTGGTGCTTGGTTTAATTTCTTTGGCTGTAACAAAATATTTTATTAAAAGTATTAGTATCAGCAGTTCAAAATAGTCAAAGCAAAATAATAATAACATTCTAGAATTTTTCATTAAATGTACGTAGAACTTACGAAGAGCTTTAGAAAAATATGAAAAAATAAAATGCACTTAAAGACAAAACTCTATATGTATTCATTAACTAATCATGGCACATAGATAAAACATTAAGAAGCTACTTTATGCATGGAATATTTTGCAGAAAATGAGTATACTATATAGTAGTAATATATAACTTTTTGAACCGGACACAAATAATTACCACAAACGTCATAACAGATTTTACAACTAATCATAGATATATCAGAGAAAATATTACATTTGTGATATTAAAAATGCTCTGAACATCACTTAAGCAGGCGAAATGTAAGGTGCAATAAACACATTTTGTATAGTTCGACCGCCTCATCCACGACCATGAGCACAAACACGCATGTGCCATTCAGATCAAATTATTCTCAAAATAGGGTGGAAGGATAAGGACTTTTTCTCCAGCATAGCTCTTTACGGAGAAGAGAAGACCTTTCACGTTGCAGCAAGTAATACCGCCCCTTTTGGGCGAGTCTATGTGTTTTGGCAGAATGCCAACCAGGGTTGGCTTGAGACGGTTGAACTATACCTGCTAATAGCTATAAAAATTATACATTTGCATGACATTAAAAGTTAATGGATAATATGTCATATTAGATTGGAATACTTATAGTGATAGCCAAAATTGCGGACACTTTTGGAAATTTTTATGTTTTGAACTTTGTATGCTTATAGAAAACGTTACGTTTCACAAAATGCAAACTTGTATATATCATTTTAAAGAGAATTTATTACTGAATTCAATACAAAACACAAAATTAAATTATTTTCAATACAAAAAAGTTAAACAATAATAGTTATCGATATACATTAGATAGTGATGATTGCAGTGAGTTATCAGTACTTAGTAGGGTACCCTTTATTTTTGATTACAGCTTCACATCGACATTTCATTGAGCTGAGAAGAATTTTAAGCTCTTCTTTCGTTATTACATGATTCCAGGAAACAATTATAGCCTCTATTAGTTCTTTTTTATTTGATGGGCGCCTCATTCGGAGAAGAGTTTTCAAACGGTGCCACAAATTTTCGATAGGATTGAGGTCAGGACTGTTTCCTGGCCATGACAACAATTTAATGCTCTTTGTACGAAACCACTCTTTCGATATTTTGGCCGTGTGGCAAGGAGCAGAATCCTGCTGAAAAATAAACGAAGCATTGTTGGAAGGTAGAAGTTTTGGTTCTAGAATAGTGTCAATGTATTTTCTGGCATTCAGTGTCCCATCGATGACATGAAGGCAACCAATACCATCTGCTGACATGCATGACCAAATCATAACACTAACTGGGTTCTTCACAGTTGCTTGAATACAGTCAGGATGTAGCTCTTCTCCTATTCTACGTCTTACATATTTTCGCCCATCACTACCAAATAACGATATCTTAGTTTCATCACTCCATATAACGTGTGACCACTGATCATCTGTCCAATTAATGTGTTCCTTTGCCTGCTGTAGTCTTTTTTTCGTTGCTGAAAATTAAGATAAGGCTTTTTTTTTTTCATGGAATTTACTACTCTCAGTCCAACATCTGTTAATCTTCTCCTGATTGTTCTTGAACTGAGAGAAACACCAGCATCATTCAGATCACTTCTGATGGCCACTGATGACATTTTTCTATCTTGGAGACATAGTCTTTTTATTCTTCTGTCATCAATAGATGTGGTGCACCTTTTTCGGCCTTTTCCTTCTTTGTTTTTTACTGAATTTGTTTCCTGATATCATAAACAAAACTTTCAGACTCCAGATGTAGTCACTGAACCACCCACCTGTCTTGCAATTTCAGCATAGGAAAGACCACTTTCTCGTAGCAGAATAATATTACATCTCTTTCTAGGTGTCCAATCTACTCTTTTATTTGATGTCATTGCTTCTTGACTAAATATTAAAAATTTTTACAAAAATTCCTACTTGTAATTGCAGTGTATAAGAAACAGGTCCTCCTTCTACAGAACAAAGCAAAATAATGAAATGTTTCAAGTGTAAACATGATGTCAGCTTCTACTGGCAGTTACTAACATTTGATTGGTTCTCAGAACAAGAACAGTGATTGGCCAGGAAAGCTAGACATTACAAACCACTTCATAACTGTGTTTTTTATTTATATTAAAGTACATATAACTTTTTTTGTATTGCAAATAATTGAATTTTGTGTTTTTTATTGAATTCAGTAATACATTCTCTTTAACATGATATATACAAGTTTGCATTTTGTGAAACGTAACATTTCCTATAAGCATACAAAGTTCAAAAGCGTAAAAATTTCCAAAAGTGTCCACAATTTTGGCCACCACTGTATAGGAAGCACAAATTTGAATTATAGCAAAATTTATACTCCATTTTCAATAATAATATGGCAACAATAAAATGTATCAGATGACTAAAAATAAGAATTATAAAATTAAATATCAGAAATTACGCATGCTTATTAAAAATTTTATTTTATTATGCAATGATGATAATTTTCACCAAAAAAGATATACATGCATGATCCTACAAATTACAAAATAAGTTTGAATAGTTATGTCCTTGTTGAAATGACAGAACAACTGATTTAGGACCTAACACAGACCTTTTTATGATTTTGCAGACTAAATATGTGTGTTCGTGGTGACCTCTATATATTTTGTGATAATTTATCAGTATTTCAATTGTAAAGATTGTTTAGAAGAGTTAATTTGTTTCATTGATATAAGATAATTAATTATAAAGTTATTAATTAAATGACTATCATACAAAATTTCAACCCAAATAGAATTATTTCAGCTAAAATTTTATCTGCAATTTTAAAGCTGTACATACATTGCTTATACTATAATTTCATAAAAAAATTTTAAAGTTATATTTAAGTTGTATGCTAAACACATACTAGCTATATCATGCAAGTTTTACAGGTAAGTCATATGCTTGTATGTTGTAATATTCAAAAGTAAACAAAACTCTGACATCTAAATAAATTAATATTCCATTTTATTTCATACAGAAATATAAAAAGATATTACATATCCAACATAAAATTATAATAGCAAAAGAAAATTATTTGATTTAATATTAAATCAATAATTTAAAAGTTAAAGAATGCAATATAATCTTGCATTTGTTCCTTTAAAATAATGTTATTTTGTTTATGTTATAGAATTTTTTTTTTATTTATAATAAAATTATATTTGTTATCTTCCTGATATTTTCAAAACAATATTAATATCAGTTGTAGAAAAAGCAAAACAATATTTAAAAAAAGCATACCTTTCTTTATTAGTACTTCCTAATTATTCGCAACCCCCCCCCCCCCCAAAATAAAAAAATGCAAACTTGTTGCCAGTTTTGGAGACTTGGAGAGCATTTGCAGACTTATTGGTGACTAATTTTTCACCAATGCTAATGCACGAAAGGCAACAACCATTTTCAAAAAATGAATTGATGCAATTGAAAAAACAAGCAATACCAGTAATAAAATATTAACATTTTCAATATATCCTTCTTTTTTGTGCTGTTATTCTCCCATGTATATGGCAATCTGTTTTCGTTTAAAAAAGAATTTCACAAATTCAACATGAAACAACATCAGCATTGCACACCAGCCTAAACCAGACATATGCTATGTGCATACCTGGTTTGCTACATAAATATGTTTTGGTGACATTATAGTTTGCCACATAACTATTTTGACAACATATTGCTTTATCTTATGAATACTGTTTCATGACTTTCTTATGGGATGAGGATAAACAGAAAGTACCTATTTATTTTGTACAATTAATATTCCATTAGAATACTGACACAAAAGTATAAAAATTGATATATCATTTTAAATTTTACATTATAGAGAACATTTGATTAGAGTAAATTGAAGGATGTGCCTTGTATTGTAGCAAAGTTGTTGTTTGATTTATGGTAACCTGGGTAGTTGAATGTTATGGAAACACTATTATGATATTCTCGGTCACACGATTGTGGTAAATTTTGAATTATGGGAAAAGATTTGTAAGGGATTGTGGTGCATGTTGGTTAGGAAGTACATTGTTCTTTTTGTGGTTTAGATGGTTATATGGCTGAATGTGGTTAAGATTAATTTGAAATTTCTGTACGATTTGAAAGAAAGGGGAAAAGAGCATTAATTGATTGGTGTGTAAATGAAGGTTTACTTAGTAGCCATTATTAAGTGTCCTGTTTAAAGGAAGGAAATGTGCATGGTAGAACATAGGACCATAAAGGCGCATTTTGTAATTTATGTGGTTACACCAGTATACAGATTTTAGTTCAGATAATTTTAAAAAGTTTTTGGATGCTGTTAAGGAATTTTGTTTAACTGAAGACACGTTAATTCATAAATAAGGTAAGTGGATATTTCCTTTGTGTAGCGAATTTCCTTTTTTATGTTATTTCATTGTTTAATTTAAAATATAGTTTATTGAGATTATACATTTTTTGTAGGCTGATTCTTTGACTTTAATATAGTTCAATGTGTGCATGCACAATGTCAAGGGAGTGCACAATGCCTAGTTTGTGCAATTCTCTGATTTTTTTAAGTGAAAATAGGTCGATGTGTACATGGATACCGAGTTTGTGCAATTCTTTGTCTTATTTGTCTTGTTATTCTTTGTCTTGTCTAAAACTACTTTTTGATCTTGACTTATGGAGTTTGCTGTTGTTTAAGATCTGTCAATTTCTCTTAGTATTTGCGTACAAATTATTTTATAAAAACCAAGTTTTAAATTTTCTGAAAGAGGATTAGAAAACAGATTTTTTGAATAAGACATCAAGATTGTGTGAATAACAAATGAAAAGATATCATCATTTCAAAACTGGAGATTTCGGAGTTGGATTTTATAATAATATTTAGTGTTGAAATGGCTTATCAACAGTGTGGTACGTCGTT